ATGTACAGAGTATTGGCTGTAGACCCAAAAAGACATGGTTTCAAAGCCTGACCCTCCTACAGAGCGCCTTCGCCGATTTTTAGAAATTTAATCCTTTTGGATTATTCAAAAGGTGGTGATAATACTTCAGTTTTAACAGATGTGAAGATAAACATTAAATTTTTTTCTTTGTCTCTAGCAGAGTGCCTGGAAGATATTAAGTAAAAACAAATACTGGCTCCCTCATTTTACCCTCCTTTTATTTTCTTTTTTTTTTTTAAATAATAGCTCCTGTTTTCCTGTCTAACATAAATTTTAACTCTTACTGGTATTTGTTCAAGCAGATTACGTATGGTGACTTGTTCAGCATATTTCAAAGATATGATAGCAAACAATAATCAGAATATAATGAAGCATTTCTGACTCATGTCCCAGCAGCTGCCATTCCCCAGACAGAAGGCAGTGCCAGATAAAGCTACCGAGGTGCCCTTTTCAATGGGTGTTTTCAGCCCCATTTCTAACTTCCAGTGAGAAACAGTGTCCATGTGTCAGCTGTCACCTCCCAGGGATTCTGGGGCACTGTTCTGTGTCACAGAAAACAATTTTTTAAAGGGGCAAAGCATAGACTGATATTAACGGAACATCATCTACAGTTTGAAAGAGCAGATTGAGTACTGAAACCATTCTCTCTCACATCCTAGTTCAGTAAGATGGAACTTCCGGAAGGATCAGTACATTTTTGAGAAGTTTAAATAGATCGCTTCATCTACCAAACAGTTCATGGAAGCGTGCAGTTTTCCATGGACCTATCTGCAGGGCCGGTGTCTTCAATTTTCATCCTCCCGGTGAACAGCATCTTCCCCCAAATGCACTTCTCATCACAGAGTCGTTTAGTGATGGTAATGTCCTCAGGGACCAGGCCGACGTGTGTGCTCATCAGAAAGGTACAGCCAAGATACATCCATGACACACTGTGATATGTACACATATCCCTGAGCGAAATATTCTCATGTCTCTTCAAACACTGAGGCCTCCGCACAGCTGAGAGGATTAGGAAGAGAAAACAGAAGGGGAAGAAGTTCTAAAGCAATTTTGTAAAATCACAAGTAGATGGAAGTAAGCGTCCCCCTGAAGTTGCGTCGAGTTGACTGGTTTTAATGTTGACTTGGTACAGAGAGGTGACCGGGCAGGATCCGGGAGAAGAGCAGGTCGTCTTTGGATCTGTCTCCTCGGCCTCACGTGATGTTTGGCAATCATAACTTGGGGGGGGGGAGAACTTAAGACTTTATTATCTTTTCCTTCATCCAGCTTGTTTTAAAAAAATGAAACAATCACATTTTTACAAGAAAATACTCAGTCCTAGCCATTGTTTAGCATTTTTAATGTATCTATCTTTATTTGCAAAACCCTTCATCTCTTTAGCACTGATATTTACATTATTAAATATTAAACAAATGTGTGCCTACCTTTATTTTTGTTCCAAGATATGTATTAATTAGAAAAGGTAAATTATTTCAGTTTGCAGCTGCTAAATGTAACGTTGATCATCTGAATTACCACCAATTATCCTGGCAGTTAAACATGCAGGTAGAAAAATATGACAATCTTTTCAACGACATGTTTATGAAAGTATTTTTTAATTCAGTAGGGTTAATCAGTACACATCCTAAGGGCTATTGCTTTCATAGAAATTTCACCATGTTAATAACAGGGTTTAACAAGTTTAAAATATGTGTGCTGGACAGGATATTCAAGTTTCCCCTGATCAGAAAGAATAGAGGCAATGTTCCTGGTGACTCCGAATTGATGTAAAGTATCAACTGACTCAGGGTATCTCACATGGCAAGTTGTCTGGTCTCTTACTATATCAACGACCAAAGAGGGCATACAATTCATAGAAAACTTTAATTTTATCATGGTTTTCTCTGTGCATTTTGATCTTGACCTTCCGAGAGTAACTACAACAGAGGAATAAATAACAACAAAAATTACAAAATTGTCGAGGTTAGAAGTAATGGGAATGTATTCTGCCTTTTAAGCCAGTAAACTGAAACTCATCTCAGCTACCAAGGGCAGAGATTTTAGAAACAGCGTTAAGTTGCACAGCTTTTACAAGAGAGGCGTCTGCTCGGCCTGCAGAGTTAGATGCTGTGTGGTCTGGGGGACGCCTGTGTTCACGTTCTTGCTTAGAAAGAAATTTTCTCAATTTGCAATCACGAATCTTCTCACTATGCCTCATTTGCATGCCCTCTCTCTCTCTCTGTTTACTGGCTCAGTGACCTGGAGCACCTCTTCCTACCAGTCTCCCCGCACCCCTCAGTGTTTCTCCTGCTGCACCTCTTTCCTGGCACCAGCCTGCGAGCTCCTCACTCCCCAGCCAGGCGCTGCGCCCAGCCGCTGACCCCATCGCGGCCCTGCGGAGGGGGCCTCCAGCTCTGTGGGCTCCTGGCCCACCAGCCACGCGAGAGCGTTCTTTTGGTCTGGACCCAGCGTGGTCAGCCCAGACGTCGCACCCACTGCTCTGACCAAGTCCACTCAACGTGTCCCGAGGAGCTGATGTGCCTGCCCTGCACCGACCCACACGGTTCTCAAGGATGTCCTTAAGGATGCCATTCAGTTTCGCCTCCCGCGTCTGGAGTAGGAGTGATCCCTGTATCTCACCGATTTTTTTTTTTTTTTTTTTGCCTGAAATCCTTAAGGGGGGAGGGGTTTCCTGGCCTGCTGTCCAGGTGGATAGAAGGAGGTGTGACGAACATGACGAACGTTCACAGGAAACCACAGCGGTGCCGACTGCAGTGTCCCAACAGCCGCCCACGCCCATCCTCACCGTCTGAATCAAAGTTTTCCTTCAAAATGAAAAACTCTAGTTAATCTTTTCTCTTAAAGGATGTGTAATGTTTAAAAACAGATAGGATACCTGAATGGGTTTGTTTTTTTTTTTTTTTCAGTGTTAAAAGACTCTCAGTTTATTTTTAATAAAACAAGCAAACCCTGCGGCTGCCCCCACTTGCTCCCCTGGCTGGGCTCTTGCTCCGGGAGCATCCCGCTGCCTGTCGTGGGTGTGGAATTTAACCGCGGAGGGTCCCCCAAGGCGCCCTGCGAACAGGGATGCGACCCGGTGGACACGGCAGGAGCGGAGGGCCCCGTCCCGCTCTCTCTCAAACTCGCCGGTCCCTTCCAGCACCGAGGGCAGCCGAACGCGCAGCCGGAGCGCGCGGTGCAGCCGGTGCCGGCGACCTGCCCGAGTAGTAAACAGTCGCCCGGGGTTCGGTTGCCCAGCGCGCCTGGAATCCCTAGCGTGGGTCGCGCGGCACGGGTGGCAGTGGTTCCGAGAGAATGAGAATGACGCAGAGCGTAATCGATCGACAGGGCACCGCCTGCCGCCACCCGTTCCTCCGTCCCCCCGAGCAGGTCCCCGAGTGGCCGGGCAGGGCCCCCTGACAGGCTCCCGGCCGCCCCCGAGATCGCTGCGTCCTCCCGACGCAGGAAAGGCGAGCGGCGGCCTCGCTCAGGGCCCCGCGGCGCGGCCGCAGCGGCTGTTTACCATATAAGTCACACCGGGGTGCGCCCCGAGCCCTCGCCCGGCGCGGGGGGCGGCGAGGGGCCGAGGCGCGTCCCCGAACTCGGGCTCAACACCCGACACCCGCCGAGCGCCTCGCAGACCCAGTCGAGCCTCCAAGAGAAGCCGGGCAGCGGGGCCTTTGGAACTGCTGATCCCCGGGGACGTCGGTCCGCCTCCCCGGGGAGCCGGCTTCGCAGGCAGCCTGGGAAACTTCCCCGCGGTCCCGGGGAGGACGCGAGGCGCGGCTCGGGGCAGAGGCAGCTGTCGGAGGCGACGCCCGCCTTACCTGCAAAGTTGCGATCTTCGGGCTGTGGAGGGGTCGGCCCGAGAATCGGAGCCTCGGGCGAATTCCAACGGGGGGCCTTCGTCTGGGCCGAATTTCCCAGCGTCCGAGGAGGAGGACGCCCGAATCTGGGGCCCCCGCCGCGGGCACCGCCTGGGCGGAGAGAGGATGTTCCGCGCGCGGCGCCGGGGAGCGGGGGAGGGGCGGCCGCGAGCGGGAGGACGCGCCACCCCGCCCCCACCGGTCCCTCCGGAGCAAGTTAGCGTTCCCACGGAGGACAGCGGGTGAGCCCAGAAGCAGCAACCCCGCCCGCGGTCCCGGGCGGCCGTCGGACTCCGTGTCCGCACGGAGCCAGCTGGGCAGGGACGGTCCCTGAAGGTGCGCGCCCCGCGCACGGCTCTGCGGGGCGCTGGCGGGGACCCGCGCGCCCGCGAAGCCTGCGGGTGGGTGCCCGGCTCCGTGCGCCGCGTCGCCTCCGCGCCCCTCGAGGTCGGCTCGCGGTCGGTTCGAGGTCGGCTCAGCACTGGGCAGTCCGCGGCCAGGCAGGGGAGCGGCCAGAGCCCCCGCGGCGGTCCTGGGAGCGAGCCAGACACACCTCCGGGCTTGGGCGGGCTCCGCGGAGCGTCCGACGCCGTGCGCGCCAGGACTCGGCTGCGTCCCAGCTCCCGCCCCGCTCCTCGGGCTCGCGGGAGGCAAGCCGCCCGACTCGCAGAGGCACCTCGCCCCCCTCCGCAACTCTCCGAGCGTCTCCCACCCCGGCTTCTCGGGGCTCCCGCACCCCCTCTCCAGGCCTCCAGGTGTCAGGCTTCCCCTGCAGGAGCGGGGTTCTGCGGCTCTGCCACCGGAGCCAACAATAGAGAGGGTCTCGGGGAACAAACCGGGAGGCGCGGCGGCCCCCGCCCCCGCCCCCACCCCGCTGGGGCTTCCCAGCCGGCGGGGGGATCGGTGAGTTTCCAACTGTGAAATAAACGCCGAAACGCGCCCCAGCCTGGGGAGCCGAGAGTCGCTGGCCGCGAGGGGTGCGCGCGCGCCCGTCTGAGCGAGATGCGCGCAGGGCGTCCTGCGGTTTCGGGCGAGAGCGGTGTTCTCCCGGCCCGGCCCCGGGGTCCGCGCAGGAAACGAGACCCGGGCGCGGAGAGGTGGGGCTGCCTCCCGGCAAAGTTGGCGCCAACTTACTCGCTGGACCTGCGACTCCGTGGCTCCCAGCCGGTCACTCCCAGAGGCTCGGTCGGTCTACATCCTGGGACTCGAGTCCATTGTAAAATAGAGTGGCCTCCACGCGTCGTCTTAGCCAGCGAGTGTCCGGCTCAAGGACCTTCGGCTTCCACTCGATTCCCTTTATTTCCCTAAAGCCCCGGCAGTCGCCACTGGCCTCTGAGCCGATGCCCGGCGGCCCCAGCTGGGCGCTGGTGCAACAGATGAGCGGCCTCCTGGCCTCGCGTCTCAGCCCGGGGTTGCTGCACCTTCGGGGAAGCAGCGCCCTGCCGGCCGCGAGGAGGACCGACTCCTTCCCGAGGAACAGTCCCCGGAGGGAGTCCAGGGAGGCGGCAGGCCGGCACCCCCACGCCGCCTCCGAAGTGCAAGCTTAATGCATTTCCTTCTCGGCTGTCTCCCCCACCCCCCGACTCCCCTTAGTTCTCAGGAGTCGAGGGTTTGCGGAGTATTTACAGGAATCAAGAGGATGTCAGCAGAGATCGCCGGCTGGTGTGGGTTCTGCTTTGTTTCCTTTGAAATCACTTCTCTTATTTCTAAATTTGTCTTTCTCTCCAGCCTGCGACTCTTCTCACGGGCTCATCGCAAGCCCAGCCTTGACCCCGGTTCTCCACGCCTGGGAGCACACGACCTCTAGGTCATCTTCTCCAAAATATTGAGGTGCACTGAAGCCAAGTCCGTTCCTGTTTTATCTCCCAAAAAAACAACCAAGGGGAGATAGCAAAAGATTTCCGTTCCCTCCCCAAACCTCTTTTCACTCTTACCACAAAAAGTACATTAACATCTCGCCACTGTTCTTAAATCTTCCTAATGTTCAATGAGGGCTTTTAACAAATATGAGAGAACATATTTATCTGTAGACAGAGGAATGAACTTGCTAACACATGTAAGCCCACTTCCTAACAACAGAGGGGGGAACAGTGTATATGAAAATCTGTTTCATGCTATGCAACTATATTTTTGTATTTCTTCATGAAATAACATCCCCATCAATCATCAGTCACTGAAATGCTTTATTGCCTAAGAAACTCACGTTTACCGATGTCGTGTTTTGTCTCGCTCTGAAAAAACAGTGTTCTACATATTCTATTGGATTGTCTCTATTTTTTTATTGTATATTTTCCATTGCCTTTTCATGCCCTTATAACCGGCCCAGTCACCACACTGTGGTCCGTGTCCGTGAGTCCTTCTGCCTTTTTGCTCAATCCCCTCCCCCGAGACACTCCCCCCAATAGAATTCCACATACTGGGGTGTGTAGACGTCTTATAATACATTCAGAAGAAAGTGGCACCCTGACATCTGTAACCAGTGATCAGAGATTAACAACGTCTCCGTGTAAGCTGAGCGTCCGTGACAAATGGTTCGGGCCCTCCTGCCTGTTCTGGGCCATCTCAGCCTCCATGCTGGTGAGAAGCATTTCTTCTCTGCCCCGAATTTGTTATTTTTCTGATCAGAAAAGTGCCCGGTTATCTACAGTAAACACAGAACAGAAAGGAGCCACGGGGGCGGCCACCTGAGTGGACTGTTTCCGTGGGGGGAAGGCGGCGCTATTGATCTGTGAGCCGCATTTTCAAAGGTGGCCTGTGATTATTGATCGATAGCCTTCTGCCATCTGCTAAAATGATTAGCAGTTACAGGGAAATTGGAAATACGTTTGAAACCACAGTAAACTGCATAGACCACAGCCATTAGCAATAGAAGGAGGAAGGTTTGCTTTTGTTTACAACATTAAAACACAAATTTGGCATCATTCCACACACCTGCATTCTGCTTAACACGCAGTGTGACTTAAAATTGTTACACACAGACCAGAAGTTTCAGTTGGGCAGCTGAGTCAGAAAAACAAGAAGGTGCAAAACAAGGGGCTCTTATTTTGAAGTTTGCAAGACACAAGGTCACCCAAGAAACGATGGCACTAAGCCTGTTCTCTATAACGCTCGCTCGTGGATAAAACGTGCCATGGAAATGAAAGTACAGTTGTTTTAGGAACTCGACTTTCGCCTTACTGCTAAGTATCACTCTTACCCCAAGGAGCTGGTGGTAATGTGGGAGGAATTCCAAAGCTGCTGTAGGTCAGACTTAGAATCTCAGAGCGAGGCGTGCGGCACGCTCTTCACTTAGCATTTCCCGAGAGAGCAGTGCTTGGCACTCAGGCCAGCGTCAGGTACAGGGCAGTGGCCGTGCCTCATCTCGGGCAAAGTTGGGACACATGTTAGCTGTGTCTTTGAGGCCCCTGTGACCTGTGTCCTCCCTGTGTGACCAGAACTTTCCCTCATTCTGCACCGAGACTCACCCAGGCCCCTCCCTGTAGGTGTTGGGTGGGGCTGAGGTGGAGGCGTGGGGGGCCTGGTAGCCTGTTCAGCTCCACCGTAGACACAGCCCCTGCTGCACCCGCCCCCACATGCCACCCCCAGGACTAGGCTTCCATCCGGTCTGTCCCCCCAACCCCCCCCCCCGACTGCGCTTCCAGTCCAGCTTTCGGCCTCAAAGGTACCAAGTGCTCCTCAGAAACATTTCTTTGAAACACTTAGGTCTTTTTCATCTTGCACGTGGGATTGTCCCCAGCTGTAACATTTCACAGCTTTTTGTACACACACTTTGTCTTCACATCTGATTACGTCCTTAGAAATAGAGTCACTGCCTCAAAACACGGGGACATTTTAAAAGTTGTGACACAGTTACATACGCTTCACTGAGCCCTCACCACGTGGGCGCACAAAGCTTGCTTTTCCCTTTTCTATATTTTTGCTGACTTCTTGTTTTTAAAAAATGTCATCTCAGTGTAATGAGTTGTATTATTAAAAAATCTAATATATATATATTTCTGCTTTGCTATTTCTTTATTTTCTTGTGAGATATAGGCCTTTCCAATACCAGTAGGGTTTTTCCCACTTGATCCATGGTAGGTCTTAACATACTAAGAGCATTAATCCCTCACCATATTTATAGCAGATTTTGCTTATTTTTATTTACTGCTAAAGTTTCAGATAATGCTATGTTTTTTAAAAGGCTCAATTTTTAAATTTTTTATTGTATTTATTGGGGCAGCATTGGGTAATAAAATCATGTAGGTTTCGGGTGTATTACTCCGTGACACTTCACCTGTATCTGTGTCATGTGTTCGCCACCCGAAGTCAAGTCTCCTTCTGCAAACAGGTACTTGACCCCCTTCACCCTCCTCTACCTCCCCCGCGGGCCCCCCGCCCCGTCACCACCACACTGTCGTCTCCATGAGCTTTTGTTTGTTTGCCTTCTTTGTCAGTTTGTTGCTGCTAGTTCTGTGTCCCACATATGGGTGAAACAGTTCTTGACTTTATCCGTCTGACATTTCACATAAGCATGATATTCTCGGGATCCGTCCGAGTTGTCGCAAAGGGCAGTGTTTTGTCTTTTCTCCGGCCGAGTGGTTTTCCACCGCAGAGATGCGCCGGGTCTTCCTGATCCGGCCCTCTGCGGAGGGACACTCGGGTGTCTCCATGTCCGGGCCACCGCGAGGAATGCTGCAGTGAACACAGGGGTGCACATATCTCTGCACTTTTGGGGGGCAGTTATCCGGAAGAGGGAGTGCTGGGTCACGTGGCAACTCCCCTCTTGATTTTTTGAAGAGGCTCCACGCTGTTTTGCATAGTGGCTGGACTCGTTCACACTCCTGCCAACAGAGAGCGAGGGTTCCTCTTTCCTCTCCATTTCTCCAGCACCTGTCGTTACTTTTCTTGTTGACAATAGCCTTTCTAACAGGTGTGGGGTGGTATCTTGTTCTAGTTTTGATTTGCGCTTCTCTGGCAGCTGCTGAAATGGAGTCTTCTCATGCACCTGCTGACCATTTGCATGTCTCCGTGGAAGACACGTCTGTTCAGAGCCCCCGCCCATTTTTAGTCGGAGGGCTCCTTTGCATGGTGTTGAGTTGTACGAGTTCTTCATTCACGTATTTTGAATATGAACCCCTTGATGACCTAGAATTTCAAATATCTTCTCCCATTTGGTTGGATGGGTTTCTCTTTTGTTTTGTTTTGTTGATGGTTTCATTTGCCATACAGAAGCTTTTTAGTTTGATATGGGCCCGTTCGTTTATTTGCGCTCTTGCCTCCCTTGTCTTTTAGGTCAAATTTGTAACATCCCCTCTAAGACCAGGGTTCATAAATGTAGTACCTATGTCTTCTTTTATGTATTTTATTGATTCAAATCTTACATTTAGGCCTTTGATCCATTTTGAGTTAATTTTTGTCTATGATGATGAATAACAGTTCACTAGTTTTATTGTATTTATATGTTTATTTTTTTGCACGTGGCTTTCCAATTCTTCCAGCACCATTTATTAAAGAGGCTTTCTTTTTTTCTTTTGTATGTTTCGGCTCCTCTGCCAAAAATTATTTGCCCACTGAGCTGTTTTTTCTGAGCTGTTAATTCTGTTCCATTGGCCTGTTTTTCTACCGACACCACACTGTTTTTATTATCGTTGCTTTGTGGTATAATTTGAAGTCAGGAAAGATGGTATCTCCAGCTTTTTTCTCTCTGAGGATTGCTTTGTCTGCTTGGGGTCTTTTGTGGTTCCATACACATCTGATTTTTTTTTTTTGGTTTATTTCTCTAAAAAAATGCCATTGGTGTTTTGATGAAGATTGCATGAAATCTGTATATCACTTTGGGTAATACGTCCATTGTAGCTATGTTGATTCTTCCAATCAATGGACACATTATTTTTGTGTGTTTTCTTCAATTTCTTTTAATAATGTCTTGTAATTTTCAGTATATTTGGTCCTTCACAGCTTTTGTTTATTCATAGGTATTTTATTCTCTTCACTGCAATTACAAAAGGAATTTTTTCACTTCCTTTTCAGAAATTTCATTGTTACCATATAGGAATGCAATGGATTTTTATACATTATGTTTATACCCTGCAACTTCATTATACTTGTTCATTGTTTCTAATGGTTTTTGGTGGAGTCTTTAGGGTTTTTATGTAAAGAATCATGTCACCTATAAAAAGTACACTTCACTTCTTCATTCCCAACTTGCGTGCCTTTTCTTGCTCTCTGCTCCCTGACTGCTCTGGCTGGGACTCCGGGACCACGTTGAAGGAGAGTGGTGAGGTGGGCACGCTTGTCTCCTTCCCGGTCTTAGAGGGAAAGCTTTCGGTTTTGCGCCAGTGAGCATGATGTCAGGTGGGGGCTTGTCGAGTGTTGCATTTGTCGTGTTCAAGCACTTTTTTTGATACCCATTTTATGGAGTGTTTCAGTCATAAATGAACACTTTAGCTTGTCACATGCCTTCCCTGCGCCTCTTGATAGGATCATACGGCTTTAGTCCCGACTTTGTTAACGCGGCGCGTTGCATCGGTCGTTTTGCCCACGTTGCGCAGCCCTGGAATGAACCCCACTCGTCAGGATCTATTAGCTTCTTAGTGGATCGTCGTGTTCAGTTCGCCGGTGTTTTGTCTGGGACTGTCGCATCTGCACTCGTCAGAAATATTGTTCCGTAAGGCCCTTTGTGCGTGTGTAATCTGTCCCGGGTTTTAGTGTTAGGGTACCGTTGGCCTTACAGCATGA